GGAAAGAAAACAGATTCTCCCCTGAGACTTTAGAAGAAACACAGCCATGCAGACATCTTGATATTCACCCATGAGATAATTCAAGCTTCTAACATTCTGACCTGTGAGAGCATATATTTGTTGGTTTTAAACAACTAATACAGGAATATTTTACAGCAGACATGTAAATGTAATACAGACATTTATTTTTAAAAATTTACTTTTGGCCCTGAGTTGAAGCTTCTGTATTCATTCATTAGCTTCCATTACGTAAGGGAATTTTACATTGGAAACCCACATGAAGTAGAAAAGAAATTTTAAATCGAGTTGGAGATATTCTGACCCATCAACTGGAACAGGGAAGTCATCACTGCGTAAATGTAAATGTGGTCTGACTGCGATGACTTTGTGGCAACGAGATTTAGGGTAAAACAGGTGACTTAAATGTCTCCATTACAGATTATAAATAATTTGTTTCTCAGCACCATATACTCTTTGCCTAGAAGTGGGTCAGTCCTCAATTTATAGTCCCCGAGTGTATGACAGATTTTTTTATTAAAAGTATAGGCAGTACTATTTACAATAGCCAAGATATGGAAGCAATCTAAATGCCTACCAACAGATGATTGGATGAAGAAGTTATGGTCCATATATACAATGAAATATTACTCAGCCATAATGAAAAATGAAATCCTATTATTTGTAACGACATGGATGGACCTAGAGGTGATTATGCTGAGTGAAATAAGTCAGACAGAGAAAAAGATAAGTACCATATGATTTCACTGATACACGGAGGCTAAGAAACAGAAAACAAATATATTTGTGGGTCGAAAACAGACCTACAAATATAGAGGACAATCTGGTGACGGCCAGAGGGGAGGGAGTGGGGGGACTAGGAGAAAGGGGTGATGTGTTAAAAGAGTAGAAATTAGTAGTTGATAGAGGTTCATGGGGATAGGGATCATAGCACAGGGAATGCAGACAGCAGTAAGGTAGTGGCTATGTGTAGAGCCAGAGAGAAGATGGAATAATCAGGGGGATTGTTTCGTAACTATATAAATGTCTAACCAATATACTGTATACTTGAAACTAATAATAAAATTGAAATGGGAGAAAGTTGAAATCTACATGTAGAAATTAACTAATGACATGACCACTTGGGAAAAAGGCTGAGTGTGAGAGAATATTCTTATTGATTGGTTTGATAGAGAATGTAAATGAGCAACAAACCCAAAATATATGCAGTCTATCCAGTAATGAAATAATTTACGGTAAATCTATTTAATATTCCTTTTTAGACTCATTACATAATTAACTTTTATGTGAATAACCAGCATAAGTGAAGATGCTGCAAGAGCTCTCATGAATAGCTCTTGCAAGTTAGTTTCTATATCTACTCATCTGGATCTTTTCAATGAATACAAGACATGCTCAAATATAGCTCATTAGAAATTTAATGCAAACACTCTCACTCCACTGCACCGCCCTCCACATCTGACACTCTATTTCCCATTCTCTGATCAGCAAAACTCCTCAGATACGTTTTCATTTTACTGCAACCATTTTATGTATCTCACTCATTCTACAGATCTGACTTCACATTTTCACCCAACTAGACTCTCATTCTCATGACTTAATCGTCAACTATAATCCTTGTATTGCAGATACATGCTTATTAAAATATTAAATAAATTAATAATAAATTAGTTACTCAACCAAAAATATAACACAGTGATCTCTTGTCTCTGGGCTGAGCTGACTGAGCTCTTATGTGACTCGGGTAAGAGTTCTCAGGTTCCATCCTCTCTGACCCTCTCCTGAATTACCTCCTGGGCTATCAGACTCACCTAGATTGGGTCTCTGAGAGGGAGGACTCTGTCTGGAAGTCTGAATTGCTACCTGGATGGTTCATGATGGAGACTGAAGCTCTGTTCCAAGCAAGACAACAGGAGGGAGTGAAGCATCGGTTCTGAGCCAGCTTAAGAGTCAAAAGCAACAACCGTATCCTGTCCACCAACACTGTACACGCCGAGGGACTGCATAGAGGAGGTATTACCACTCTCTCTATCTGCTCATCAGGCATCTCCCTCCTGTTATTCCAACCTCTAAGCATATGATTTCCCTCTGGGCCTCTGGAATAAACATAAAGGATTTTTTTTCCTAATGATTCTCTGACCCAAGAGACCAGGTTAGAAGTCAAGTGAATTTAGTTTTTAAGACTTTGTGTCCTTGATCTCCCTGAACTCTAACCTTCCACCACCTTATTTCAACCCTGACTTTATGTTTTCTCCAAAGTCTGAGACTAAGAAATCAATCAGAACTAGGTCCCATGGATCTGTAAAGCACTGAATTGTGATGGGACTCAGCCCTGATGTCTCCAGAGAATTGCTATTTCCTCTTCAACAAGAGAAAAGTGGGGTTCCTTTTGATATGCAATCCTGGGCACCACACTCTGGGTTCCTGACTCATTTGTTAAGATAATTATGAATTTTGTACTTATATCACAAGGTAAGAGCTATCATTTAGGGCCTCATTCTAGAATATTTGTTAATTATGAGAGGTACATTTTAATATTTTTAGGCCATGTAATCTGAGTTTAGCACTTTATAGACTTTGTCTGATTTAAGTTTTTCAAAAAGTACATTCTATGAGGTAGTATTATTGTGAACTTCATTCCCCTTTGCAGAAATGGGACTTGAAAGAGTTTATTGATCTACCGCACATTACAAACTGAGTGAAGGATAGGTCTTGATTAGAATCTCTCAGGACGCTTCCAGTTTTTAAACTCTGGGTCAGTGTTTCCCAGCCAGAGATGATGTTGCCCCTGGGCTATTTGACAATGTCTAGGAAGGTTACTAAACATCTACAACATCCAACACAAATAATTATGTCTAATTGAGAAGGTGAGAAAACCTAGTCTGGACCAGCATTTCTCCAAAATCAGTGTTCATATGAGTCACTCAGGATTCTAGTTCAAATGCACATCCTGTTGGGCCAAGAGAGTCTGATAATCAAACAATATGCCAGGTGATTCTGATGTCGCAGGTCCTGGACTAATGACCATTCTGTGAATAGCAAGGCTGTGGTTCTGAGTTAGAGTCAAGTGTAGGTAGTTTTAAGTCTTCAGAACCTGGAGTCATTTTTGCGTGTAGGAATAGAGGTTATTATGAATTTATTGCTCAATTATTTTATATAAAGATTAATGAGTGACATCATATAGTATACTTCTGGAAAAGTAACTCATTCGATTCTTTTGTCTAAGAGCCCTGAGTGACACCTAATAACATATTACTAAGAAAATTTTATAGTAGGCTGAACAAAAGCCTCAGAAAGATATCCACAACATAATCCCCAGAAACTCATGCTATTTTTTCGTAGCAAGGGAGGAAGAAGGTAGCAGATGGAATAAGTTTGCTAATCAGCCGATTCTAAGAATACTGGCCATGATTTTGCAGGTGAGACTAATGTCATCATCATCGTCCTAGAATGTGGATGAGGAAGAAAGAAGATTGGAATCAGAGGAGACTGGAAGATGCTACACTGCTGGCTTTGGGGAAGGAGAAAGTTGTGAGCCAAGGAATGCTTTCGACCACAGAAACTGAAATAGGAGAGGACACAGATTCTCTCTTGGACCCTCCAAAAGGAACCAGCCCTGCAGACATGATGATTTTAGTCCAGTGAGACTTGCTTCAGGCTTCTGACCTCCAGAATTATAGGTGTATACATTTCTTTTAAATTCCTAGAGTGGTAATTTGTTGCAGCAGCAATAGCAATGTTATACAGACATTTATCCAATAATTGTTTTTGGAGGAAACTGATGTTAAGCATCTCAGTACATTCATTTTGCTTCCCCACGTTAAGGACATTTTATGTAAACCTCCACCCACACCCCCATGCAGAGGAAAAAAATTAAGGTCATTTTGATGAGTTTGCCCCATTAGCTGGTACAGAGAATTCCCTGTTGCATAAATGTAAATGTGATTCTGACTTTGAGATCTTTGGACATTCAGATAGGAAAACAATTCATTATTAAATTCAAGGCAACAATTCTGCTTTCAATCTTTTTCTCTAATTTCTATATTTTAAAATTTTCATGTTAACCAACCTATCATTACTTTTACTTCTATCCTCTTCAGTGTTCTCTAAAATTTCCTTTCAACATAAAAAATGAAATTATTGAGTCTACGTGTGTACATATATGCAAGTGCGTGTGTTTATTTCTTAAAAATAATATACAAATACATATATACACAAACAAACTACTAACTCATGAAAGAGCTCTTGGTCTCAAAAAAGTATTTCCATAGAATTCAGTTATCCTGTACCACATTCATCAAAATTATTATTAGCTCACATTAACATAAAAAATAAAGACCTGAGACTCAGGGAGAATCAGTTTTTCACAATTATATAACAGTGCAATTAAAGTTATTGTACACTTTCCTGAATTACTTATAAATGGATACATGCAATATGTACTCTCATTTTGTAAGTTCTCTTTAATTCAGTAAATTTTAAATTTTAAATACGTGCAGGAAAAAACATCAAATGTTGCCTGGCTCAAGGTAGGATGTAGAGCACAGGTAGCTGAGTCACACTTTAACAGGGGGAGGCAGAAATATCATTGGGTGGAAAGCAATGTGTCTTATATGGATATCAAACAGTGACAAATCACTTTTTGTAAACTAATTTTTTTGTTAACTAGAAGATTAAACTACATATATAAATAAAGGATTATAATTTGGTTCAAGACAGGTGTACATTACAGCCTCACACAACATTATGGATGAGCCAGAGATGCACAATGTAGAGATTCCCAGCTGATGCAGGCTCATGAGTATCTGAGAAGAAATCAGAACAACTTTTATCATATGATCTTTTTTAATAAAAATCATTGCATTAGGATAATTTGTTATGCTGCATTAGCTAACTGATGGAAATAAAACAAGATTATTATAACAATCTGCTGTTTTAAAATTTTTGGCATATGTTCTGATATTCAAAGACAGTACTCATGACTATTTTATTATTCTTATTCCTGCCATTCCAAAGAATTTTTTTAGAGCCCCCTTTATGTCTTTGTTCCTAAGACTATAGATGAAGGGATTCAGCATGGGTGTGACCAGGCTGTACAGCACTGAGGCTATTGCACTTGATTGTGAGTTGTGAGTAGCAGCAGAGCTGAAGTACACTCCTAGTACTGTAAAGTAAAATAAAGAGACAACTGAGAGGTGAGACACACAGGTAGAAAATGCTTTATACTTCCCTTGAGCTGATGAGATTCTGCATATGGAGGAAGCGATCTTACAGTAAGAGTAAAGGATCCCAGCCAAAGGACCACCACCCAGCAGCACAGTTCCAACATACATCACTATGTCATTAAGAAAAGTGTCAGAACAGGCAAGTTTGATTACCTGATTAATTTCACAGAAATATTGGGGAATTTCTACGTCTGTGCTGAAGGACAGCCTCAACACCAATAAACTGTGTAATAGGGTACTCAGGGCACCAATGATCCAGGACATCAGAAGCAGCAGTCCACAGAACCTGGGGTTCATGATAACCGTGTAGTGCAGGGGATGACAGATGGCTACAAAGCGGTCATAGGCCATCACAGTCAGGAGGAAGTCATCCAACAAACCAAAGAATGTGGAAAAATACATTTGTGCGATGCAGCCTTTATAGGTGATAACTTTGCTCTGAGTCTGGATGTTCACCAGCATCTTTGGGACGGTGCTGGAGGTGAAACAGATGTCCACCAAGGACAGGTTGCAGAGGAAGAAGTACATGGGTGTGTGGAGGCGGGAGTCTGAGCTGACGGCCAGGATGATGAGCAGGTTTCCAAACACAGTGATCAGATACATGGAGAGGAAGAAGCCAAATATGAGAGGCTGCAGTTCTGGTTCCTCTGAAAATCCCTGAAGAAGAAATTTCAAAATTCGTGTATCATTGCTTGATAACATGTGATGATGATCACAGCTACAAATAAAAAAAGATTATTTTTTACATAAATGGACATTAGTAATATGATGAAAATGTTACAATTGCATTACTTTATAGGAAAAAAGCATGTATAAAAGAGTTGAATAGAGTGTTATTTTTAATGGGAGTTTAGGAAGACCCAAAAACAAGATGACATTTGAGCAGAGACCTCACAAAGAGAAAGCAGGAGACACAAGTTTATTTGTAGAAGTGTGTGTCCTGCAGGGGAAAGAGCCAGTGCAAAGGCCCTGAGGATGAACTTGTTTCAGATATTCAAGTCTCAAAATGGAGCCAGTGTGTCCAGGAGAATGAACAAGAGGTAGAGTTGTTTCTATGGAATCTTGTGAATAGGAAAAATTCCCCTTCTTATTTCACGTGTGGCTTAACATTCTTACCTCTCTCTTTCAAGGGTCACATTCTGGAGTATATGATCTCAGACACTGCTGTTTTGAGAACTGCTCATTCCCCACGCAACACAGCACAGACACAGACACTCACACACAGACACATGCACACACACATGTGCACTCGCATGCGGGCACAGCGTGGCCTCCTGGGGCCATGTTATTCTCACCCTCATTACAAGAACTAGGAAAAGTATGATAGAAGGCAAGAAGTCAACATCGATCACCTTTTTCATAAAGAATATAAAAATAGTTCTTAAATTCTGGTGAGTAGATCTCCCATGGACAGGTAAACTTGGCACTCCATTTTAATATGACCATTTTCTGTCCTATATTTGTATATTTACTGTTTTCATTTAGCTTTTTGTTTATAATTTTTGAAAACTGAGTAATTGAATTTCAGTGGAATTCTATATGGTGTTTCCGATTTTTCATAAGTCCGATTGTACTAAGCTAATTATGTACCCGATTATATGACTAAATTCCTGTCCAGCATTTAAAGAAATGTAAAGAACTCAGTTCAAAAAACAGAGACAGTAGAAATACCTGTAACTGAGGGGAAAATATCTAGTGGCTTAGAGACAGGTGTTTGAGTGTCTGTGATGAGGAGAAAGAGTCCTTGGTTCTGGCAGCATTCCAAACCTAGTTATGTCACCATGATGCCCAGGATAACTAATAAAATAGCAGAAATCAATAGATCCAAGAGAAATGAGTGATATATGTTATCAATGTCAAGACAGCTTAATGAATGAACATCCATTAAAAATATGAACAAAGAGAATAAATTCACAAATTACTAAAAGAAATCCACAATATACAAAACTAGTGGGAATTTTAAGTGATAAAATAGTAAAAGACTTTCCCAAATAATACTAAATACAAAATTTGGAGATTAGTAACAGTTCTGAATTTGGATCTACCATATAGTATTAGCTGTTTGAATTTAAAGAGACAATCAACTTATTCTAAATGTTAATATTTTCACCCAAATAATGGGGGCAGTGGTATCTATCCTCCTAATGTCGTCCACAGATTTGGTCAATATAGAAGAGTTAAGCCTCATTCCTTCCTGTGAGTACATGCATGGTAATCACTGGTAATGATTCTCTTTGTTTAGTTGTGTGTGTGCACATATGTGTGTGTTGTGTGTTTGCATGTGCTCTCAGGCTTTTTACAAAGGAAAAGGCATGTTTACTGTGGGACATGGTCAACAAACTTGGAATCCAATGCAGTAAAGAAAAAAAACAGTTTAAAAGAACGGCCAGATTCTGCCAATGAAGGAGAAGCAACAAGAATGAAGAACCCACAGAGAGCCAGGTGCAGAAGATCCAAATTCAGAAGAGGCAGCTGGCATGGGCGCTGTAGTTCCCTTTGACTCAAGGGACCTCACACTGATCGGACCTTTACTGCCCCACTGAACTCATCACAGCGTCCACCTCAGCTCTGATCTATTTGTCATTCCTGCACCTATTTCATGTTTATTCAATCATCCCCGCCCCCCGCTTTTTTATAAGGCCCAGTGATGGATGCTGCTGGACCCTCTCTCATTTTTCTTTGTGGAATTCCATTGTTTACTATTCTTGGGCTTTGAGTTTTGAACTCTTTTATTTCTTCTATTTTTCTTTTCTTTTATTTTTATTAATTTTCTTTTTTTATAACTTTAAAAATTTTATTTATTTAAAATAGTTTCAAGTATACAGTACATTGGTTAGACATCTATATTGTTCATAGAACAATTCCCCCAGTTGCTCCCCCTCTCCTCTGGTCCTCCACTTAGCCATCATATTAATGCTAACTGCATTCCCTCTGCTGTGCTCCCATCTCTGTGAACAACTCAACTAATTGCATCGCCAGATTGTCCTCTATATTCGTGAGTCGATTTTTGATTAGTTTGTTCTTTTTGTTCCTTAGATTTTGCATATAAGTGAAATCACATAGTATTTATCTGTGTCTGTCTTATTTCATTCAACATAACAACCTCTACGTCCATCCATGTCGTTGCAAATGGTAGGATTTCATTTTTTTTTTAATGGCTGAGTAATAGTCCATTGTATATATGAACCATAGCTTCTTTATCTAATCGTCTGTTGATGGGCATTTAGGTTGTTTCCATATCTTGGCAATTGCAAATTGTGCTGCCATGAATATTGGAGTGCATAGATCTTTATGAATTATTGTTTTAGTTTTCTTTGGATAAATACCCAGAAGTGCAATTGCTGGGTAAAAAGGTATATCCATTTTTAATTTTTTTGAGAAAACTCCATACTATTTTCCATACTGACTGTACCAATTTTCAATTCCACCAACAATGACCTCTTTTATTTCACATCTGATGGATACACTAGTCCTGGTACTGTTCCTTGCCTCTGCAGACATCTTCTATAAAATCCTGTTTGTGCCACAACTATTGATCTCCTTGATTCATACATTTATTCCTGAGGACATGACATCATACTACACTCATTTCATTGTACTGAGCCTTCTTCATTATAATGTGAGAGACAAAACAGGGGGACCTCATTTATTTTGCTCACTTATGTGGTTTCATAAATGTGTGCATGTATATAGGAAAAATGTTAAGGAATGGAAAAATCATAAAAGAAAAAGAATGTCAGGAAAAATAAAACCAGGTTGATTATAGTGGATTCAAGTAACCTTGTAAGTGAAATTGAACAGAAACCTAAGACTAGCATCTAAAAGATATAAATACAATAATTTAATTACCTCAATATGGGCCTATAATTAAAGATAAATGGGTGAAGACGTGGAAATGAAAAATACACAAATACACTTTTGAAAAGCAGTGGAGGAAGCACTATCTATATATCTACTTTTTACCTATATAAACAAATGGCTTTCAATATGCTTAGGAAAAGAATAGAGGTGAACATGAACTGAATGCAAAAGAATGCCTTTCACAAGATAGGAGATGATCTAGAACTTTTATATTTAAAAATAGTGGGGGAAACACAATATGACCGACTGATAGAATTGAGTACATGAACTTTAAAAATTGTCATACTTTACCCCAAATACATCTCTACATATACAAAGGAATTCAATGTCAAACAGCAAAATTGGTGAAAAAAACTCCAATTTGACACATTAAATAAATTAATTAGTCAACCCAGTAGACAAACATAGCCATCTCTGGGCTCTGGGTGAGGCTGGTTAGGCTCTCAGGAGACCTCGGGTAGAAGGTCTTAGGCTCCTTCTTCTCTGACCCTTTGCTGCAGTACCGGCTGGACTCTCTGACTCACCTGGATGAGGTCTCTGAGAGGGAGGACTCCATTTGGAAGTCGAAATTCTTTTCTGGATGGTAGATGCCAGGGACTGAAGGTCTGTCCCCAGACAGGACAGTAGGAAGGAGTGAAGCATTGGTACCCAACAAGACTTAGGAATCCAAAATAACGAATATGTCCTGTGAAGCCCAGGGTTGCATATTCAGCAGAGAAGGTATTTCTATGTCCTTTAATCTGCTGGTTATACACTGTTTACATTGTTATTCCCACCTCTGAGCCCTGATTTCCCTGTGGGACACTGGTGTAAACAGAATGGAAAATTTTCCTGCAGATTCTTTATTCCCAAGGGATTAGGTTAGAAGTCAAATGAATCCTGTTTTTGTTACTCCTTCTACACAACTCTTCTACCTGCCAGAGGTCTCACCTCCCAGCACCTTATCCCAATCCTGAGTTAAAGGAAATCCTGAGGAAACTGTCTGTGTTAGGTCCCTGGATCTTCAGAGCATTGGCATGTGGCGGGACACAAGCCCTCATAGCTGCAGGATTTATAGTCCCCTTTTTGTAAGGGGAGAATAGTGTGACTTTGATGTAAATCTTTGGACACTATATTTCTTGGCTTCATGATATATTTGCCAAATTTATGAGGATTTCATACTTATATCAGAATTAAGTTATCATTTAGTCTTACATTTAAAAACCTTTGTTATTATGAGACATATTTATATAATTTTATATCATGTAATCTGAATTTAGAACCTTATGAGCATTGTCTGATTGAATTTTTATAGAAGTCCATTCTGTGAGATAGTACTATAATGGATTCCATTCCTCATTAATGAAATGGGGCTTGAAGTATTTTAATGATCAGCTCAAAGTTATCATCAGAGTAGAAATAGGTTTTCATTCAAATTATGACAGGATGCTCCCAGTTTTCCAACTGTGGTATAGTGGTCCCCATCCAGACATGATGTTGTCCTTGGGGAGATTCTGCAATGTCTGAAGACAATCTGCTAAATGCCTATGGTGATCTACACAAATAACTATCCTGCCTCAACTGTCAAGATGAGAAGATGAGAAAACCCAGTCTATACCAGCACTTCTCAATTATAATGTACATATGAATGACCCAGGATTCTAGTTCAAATGCAGAATCTCACTCTGCAGGTCCTGGAGGGCTGAGACTGCAT